GCTAAAAATCTGGAATATATCTTGAGCGATTGGAAATTGATTTTGATAATACTTTGATCTTGTTCCATTCCTTTTTGAATTCTAATTTCAATCCAATTGTCTCTTAGCAATCTTCAACGTATCTTCTTGAGTATTTTCAATTTGATCCTCGAACTTTGGATTTTACCATTTTTCACCATATTTTGTTTCTTTTCTCCAATTCTTCATCAAACATAAAGTTTTACCTACATAATGCAATATAACATAAATTATGTAAAATGTTGGCAAAAGATCAATAAAATTCTATAGTTTTAAACCCCGAATAAGTGTAGAAAATACACTTATCACTAGCATTTTTAGATAGTGTAGAAATTGATTGACTAATCGAACTTGTAAACATTGACGTGTATGCACTATATTATTATCCAAGTTTCTGCCTGCAGATGTATCCAATAATTGGTGACAGTACAGATGTAAAGAGTGTGTGGAGGAAATAGGCTATTACCTTTGCAAAGATTGTTACACGACTGGCTCAAAAATTCCTGGTCGGTTAAATCAGAAGCACACCTCAGAACACGGGTTTGAAATGACAAAATCGAACCCCACATGCAATATTATGTTAAGATTGCCGAGGGGACAATTGGAAGAAGTTGCTGCTGCTTCCCATGCTTTGAGCAATGCTGTAGAAGATCTGGCAAATGTGTTCTCTTCTTTGTCCAATAATACACTTGAAGATGCCAAAAATGGTTTGGATGCTACCAATACATCCACTGAGAGTATGAGACCGAGGACAACCCGATCGATGATCGGGGGCCCACATGAAATTTCACGACTCATGACTTCGTCCATTTTGCCATTGGACTCCATGTTAATGTGCAAGATGAATGTTGTATATCTGCTATTTTCAACCCTTATGTTTAACATTGGCATCCTGCATATCCCAATTTAATTAACTTATGACATGTATGGTTGGGAGGATTAATCAATATTGATAATATACAATATTGTGCACCAAATATGCACTACAAGTTCATTTTTGCCGTGTTAGTGAGGCCAAAGTATGGAACTTCAGTCGAAGCTTATCTCAACCGGGTGATGTTGAGAAATATACAGCATAATAAGGAATCC